GCTTTTTAGCATTAGCTGCTCTTTCCTAATTTGCCTAAGCCCTTCAGGGATTTAATGATTAACGAGAGGACAAGAGTGGTGCAGGTACAGTATAATATATGTAATGCTTGCTTCTGAAAAGCCGTTTTTAACTGGCACAGTGTACTTAAAATCCAAATAACAAGCGATTAAGAAAGGGCCTTGTTTTACAATCTTTTCCACAACAACATGAAAGAAACCTATGATGTTTATTGGAAGTTATTTTTAAGTTACCGAAGTGACAGTGATAACTTTACAACTTGTTCTTCTTTACAGCGTGTTTCTTCATTTTAAAGGCAAAAGTAATGACCCACTTACTGAGAAATCAACAACTCGGGCTGTTGATTTTAGTTATGTGATTACTGTTAGTAACCTCCTTTATCAGAGAAATATTACACATATTTTACAATTAGACATTATGGAAAGAGATACTCATTTGTGTTGGGGTTTTTTTTAATCTTAACTTGTTCCAACATCTCCCTCGGTGTTTCAGTTGGCACAGTTGCCACCATTTAAGCACTTGTCTTGCCTAAATTAGGAAGTATTTAAAAAATAAAACAACAAACAATACTAAACATTTTTATTAGCTCATTTTTTAAACATGTTTTATCACTTGAGTAACCAGGATTTAACTCTCTTAAAATTGTGCAGTCAGATTTTCACTGCGCAGACTGCCCACATAGTAGTTTTTGTTTGAATTTCATTCAAGAGAAGATTATTATAAACTTGGTGGGAATAATGGGAAAGAGCTCCTGAGAAACCACTACTGTGTTTTCTTTTTCATCAGTGACTGTTTTTGATGACAGCTGAGGCATCAAGGTAGGAAAACAGAAAATATAATTTAATATAATGTGAGCTTCTGTGACTAGAGAACGTTCTGTAACTTTGGCTGAATAACTAAAAAGGTCCTTGGTCATGGGCTGCTGAAGAGAATATGACTAAAATAAACTTTTCTTGGGTTATTCAGAGTGTACCAAGGTAGTGTCATTTTTTTTTTTGTTTGTAGTATTTACGTATTCCTTTCTTAAATGTCGATTTGATTTCTAGTATATTTAAAAAAATACAAAGATCCTGAATTTTTCTGCATCGGTTAAGTTCATGGGTCAAGTAACCAAAAAGAAATCCTGTAAATTTGTACATTAGAGTTTGCAAAAGTATTCAGCATCAATGTATTTTCTTTTTTTTTTTTCCTTCATATTGAGTTCAGTTGAGTGGTTTAGCAGGATGCTTACGCAGATCTCTTGCATTTAAACCAGTGTTATCTAGGAATAACAAATAGTCTTCAGAACCTGAGGAATGTAGCTGGATTTTGAGTTATGTGAATCGATGGATATTCTAACAATATGATTTAAGAAAGGTTTCCAGGTTGGACCTTTCCAAAATAATTTAATTTTTATAGTTGCTTTGATACACACGGCATGTTAAATGTTTCAGTTCAAGCAGAAGCATTGTTAGATAATTCAGAAAGAAAACCTAATCCATAAATACACCATGTGTAGTTCTCTATGTTCACTCTAGATAATTCTGTATAGTGCCTATACATAATTTATATATACTATATAACAAAATGTAGTATGTATAGAGTTTGGGGTTTTTTCCTTGTGTGGGTTTTCATAAAGATAAGCACCATCTGTCCACACATGCCACTGTAAACAGAAGTACCAAGTGGATGCATACAGAAATCTGATGTGCATCTTTGTGTCTTCTCTTTTCACTCTTCGATCAACAGAATTTGTAATCATGTGAGAGTTAACACAAAAGTTACTGGTTGTGCAGTAGTTGCTTTAAGGAAAATATATTTGGTTGACTTATTAAAATGCTAATTAGGGCAAACCAAGGGAATAAGTTTTCTTAAGAGTAGGGCAGATGGTCTGGATCTTTTCTACCAGTCTGATTTCAGTCTGCTTGTGGGCATAAAAGAAAAAATAAACCAGAGAATGAATACAGCTTTGCAAAGAATTGGTAACAGCTGCTTTGTTAAGGTAAAGACCTGATTTACTGTCAATAACTGCTTTCTGGAGCCTTTTTCCTCAACTATGAAGGCTGGCAGAATATAGAATATTGAGACTTTGGAAAGCTGACTGTTAATTAGTTAACCTCCTTGATTCTAAAAACATATAACTAAGATAAACTGCATGAAAAATCTAAGACAGTTATCCTTCTAACATAGCTCATTTGACATATGCTCAAGAAACTGTTTGTTAAATCTGCTGAAGGCATGCATGTAATTAGAAGAAGGCTTACATATAATATTTTGCCAGGATATGTAGCTGAGCTTTTATGACAGTATTTGAGTAAATTTATATATAGAATGTTTTTAAACTCGAATAAGCCAAACCGCTTCACAAACTGCATTGCCTCAATATCCTTTGAAAATACAGCCATTTCCTGAAGTGTGTGTAGCCACCGCAGGAGCTGAAGTTGTTTATTTCCTTGAGATTAAATTTGGCTGCGATCTGTTCCAACACTTCACTGGAGAACCTTCACAGCCAGCGTGACTCTGAACTGCCTGGCGCTCACCTTGCCTTTCGCAGCCCAAGTATTAACACTCGGATGGTGGACCAGCCTCTCCCTTGGAGTTATGGATTTAAAACTACAGAGGATCACGTATTTGTTAGGTACAAGATGACTCTGAGTTTGGACCACAGCTCAAGGAGGGGAGCCTCGAGCTTAGGTGAAGTTGGAGGTAGAGAAGTTGCACGTTTACTGGCGAGAACTATGCCTTCTGATCTGTGCCTTTCTGACATAGCGTCAAACGTCAGATGTTAGTCATGTGTCATCTAAAAAAAAAAGAAAAAAAGAAAAAAAGACAATAAAATGAAAAAAAAAAAAGTGGGAATCTGTAACCTGCCCCATCCTAATGTATAATGAGCTGCTGGCAGTATGGGACAGCCACTCGTTTGGGTGTATCTGTACTTTGTCATCTGGCATGTGCAAAACTTCCTGGTGTGAAACAGGCCCACTGTGGAAGGACAGAGTCTGTGGGGCTACGGAGTTACAAAAACACAATTGTCTGTTCAAACAAGACTGAAGTTCTGATGTGGTCACACAACACGTTTGACAGCAAAGCGGTATTCATCTCCATATAGTGTTCACCCTCTCAGATGCTCTGCTCGATGGGAGCTCTGTGCAGTCACCTGCTGTGCTGGTTACAGTTCTTCTCTCAGGCAATTGCACGGTTTTGGAATAACGTAGTTCAGCTGGTCTGCAAATATTTGAAATTTGTCCTACTATAAGCCAACCAGAAGACTAATAATACCGTCTGAATTTTGTTATTGTTGTCACTGGCTAATTGTATAGAGCAGAAATTAATTTTTGAATCTGTCTTGCTGTAGTTTATTTGGAGGAGGGTCTCCTAAGGTGTGTACAATTTTGCGGATTGGAGTTTGCACTTTGGTTTCTCTTCCACAAGAAGGGGTGTAAACTTAGGTAATTACAGCGGGTAACACAGGCACAGCATGCTACCTGTAGCTAGCAAAAATATGAATATGCTCTGTTGCACTCCTCCTTGCTCCTCTGTTCACAGAGCAAACCCCAGGGCAGACTCTCCCTCTTGGGCTAAGCCCTGGCCTGCCAGAAAGCCGGCGGAGCCCGGGGGCTGCAGCCCGAAGCAGAGGCATCCGCTCCCCAGCTGCTCCTCTGTGGCGGGGCTGGAGCAGGGTTTGCAGCACAGCACAAAGGCTGCAAAAGCAAGCTGGAGAGGGACTGTTTACAGGGGCAGGTAGTGACAGGACAAGGGGTCATGGCTTTAACCTGAAGGAGGGTAGATTTAGATTAGATATTAGGAAGAAATTCTTCAGTGTTCAACTGGCACAGGATGCCCAGAGAAGCTGTGGGTGCCCCATTCCTGGCAGTGTTCAAGGCCAGGTTGGATGGGGCTTTGGGCAACCTGGGCTAGTGGAGGGTGTCCCTGCCCATGGCAGGGGGGTTGGAACTACATGGGCTTTAAGGTCCCTTCCAACCCAAACCATTCTGTGAATCTGTGATTGTGATTCATGTTACTGAATATATTTAGCTTAAGAGAAACTGTATACTGGGAACTGTGGGTTTGCTATCTGGAAAAATGGTATGGAGGCCTCGTGTGCCACTAAGAAAAGAGGGGTTTTTTGGGTTTTGGTGTGGTTTTTTTTGTTTGGGTTTTTTTTTTTTTTGTTTTTGTTTTTAACAAAAGCAGTGAGTGACACCAATACCTGTGCAGAGGTTCTCTTATCACATCCCTCTCCCCTCTGCTGGTGCACTGGGGACTACAGCCTTTCAGTGGAGCACAGGCTGAACAACCCTTGTATTGTCACCTCCGTAGTAAATATGATGTAGAGTCTGAAGTGTTGCCATGTGTTACAAGTCAGTCTGCTTCTGCAGTCTGCCTGGATTCCTACCCTTATTGTTAAGGCTTAGAAATGTGCCCATCACTAATGGTGGTGGACAAAGCAATCTTCTTGTTAAACTACTCAATCAGTGCAGTGATGCTTTTCAAAGCGCTGCTTTTCCATTTCACTGTAAATGTCTTATGGTGGAGCTTCTGTCAGTCCCATTGGGAATTATTTCATAGTCTGATGCACGTGAGGATCACAAAGTGCTACATGATTATTCAGTTTAAATTCTTTCTTTATCTGGCTTCCCCCTTTCATTTACCCAGCTTTCATGTGCTTAGCCTTTTAACATTTCATTTCTTTTCAAAACTTCACCCATACAATCCTTCTCACAAAATCTTAATTTTGTGGTGGTACTGTAAATCAGTTGACGTCCTTTGAGCACGTTGCCTCCCTGGCCCGGGTTTTCTTTGCAGCCTATAGACTGCAGCATTTAGAAGTGTACTGGGCTTATAGCTTGCTCCAATAACTTATTTGAGAAATATGTACTAATTTAATACATTGTTATAAGGTTTCTGCCTACCATTTATCATCCTAATTTGCTGATGATGATACAAAGCAACGAAGTAGAAAACGATGGGGGATTATGTTCATATTAAAGTGTTTTGCTCCAACAATCTTTCCCTGACCTGTGAGATTTTGTTTGTTTGTTTAGATCTGCTAGAGAAGTCTCGTGTTGTTAAGCAGCCAAGAGGTGAAAGAAACTTCCACATTTTCTATCAGATACTGTCTGGTGCATCAGAAGACTTCCTCTGTAAGTGTTACCCTTGTGCCATATTCAGATATGAGTCATCTTTATATTGAATGTGCTGTTCCACACACATCTTCTTTTATGGGAAATGTGGTATTGATTCGTTTTTCAAATTGGTGGTGGTAGTGGCAATAGTAATACCTGAAGTAAATACATGGTTTGGTATTATCCAGATATCTGAGTCAGAATTGGCTTTGCAATGTACCATAAACAAAGAAGAAGGCCTATTCTTACTTAGAAGGCTTGTAATTAAAAGATCCTTAAAACTTAATCCTACTAATAATGACAGTTCTTGACAATACTGGTTCTGGGATAAAAGAGCTACTGACAAGAATGCTGTTACTAATGAGATTTTTATGTGACTTATTAGGCGAACTCAAACTGGAGCGGGACTTCAGCAGATACAACTACCTGGGCCTTGATTCTGCCAAAGTGAATGGAGTGGATGACGCTGCAAACTTCAGAACAGTTAGGGTGAGAAGTGGCAGGGCTTTGGTGTAAACAGCAAAAGGGCTCAACGCTAATTGCTGGGTTCCTGTGCCCTCGGTCTGGCCGTTTGCGCTGGGCTGGGAGGGCCATCTTTTCCAGGGCATTTTCAGAGTGCTACGCACTCTTCGTGCACAGGTGTAGTGTGTTTGCACAGGGAAGCTTAGCTACAACTGGAAGATACAAAGAACCATGTTTCTGGAGTGTTCTAGTGGGAATACAAAAAAGACACCAAAAAAAAAAAAAGGGAAAAAAGAAAGAAAAAAAGCCCAGACCCCTTGATCAGACCACAGAAAGGTTTATATTGTGTAGTTGCTTATGCTGGCAGTGACTGAGCTTCATGAACCGGGCAATGCTGACCAAGTTGAAAGAAAAACAGGGCTGCGATAGTTCTTCAGATGATTTACTGTGATGTTTTTGCTAGATTATTTTCAGGGACAAGAAGAATACAGGACCCTGTTACCCAGTGTATGCAAATTTACATTCTAAAACTTACTGGCTTTTAGGGCATCAGAGTGGACTGAGAAGACAGCAGTACCTGTTCATTCAACTGTGAAAATTTGGGTTGGGTTGTAAACTAAATTAAGTAGCTAAAATAGAAAGTACTGTATTTTAGAAACCTATAAACTGAGTGAATCCTAGAAGTGGACTGGACTGACATGCCAGCTCAATTACCAGGTCTTCCTTAACCTGTCTTTTATATAAAAAAACCTTACGTGTCTGAGCATAGTAATTATATCATGGGTTTTTTTTGTAGAAAAAGTGTTCATAAAACATTTGTAATTTGTGCTAATACAGATAAATGGTGACTTTTGCAAGTATGATCTGTTTAAATGTAGATTCCTTTATCTTGTAATTTTATCTGTCCCCTTTCCAGAATGCAATGCAGATTGTTGGTTTTATGGATCATGAAACACAGTCTGTTTTTGAAGTGGTGGCAGCCGTTCTGAAATTGGGAAATATTGAATTTAAGCCTGAATCTCGCGTGAATGGCCTAGATGAAAGTAAAATCAAAGATAAAAACGGTAAGATGAGATTAGTGATGGGAGTAAAAATACTAATTTGTCTGAAGTTATTATTAATTTTGTAGTTTCTGTAGACATACAATATCCTTACAGATGAATTAAATTAGATTGTTTCCAAAACTCACCTGCAGGCAAATATGGGTTGAATTCTGTGCGATTTCAGTTGCTCTGTTTGAAATTCCAAAGATTATTATTTTCTTTTTTCCACTTTATTAACACTTTCTTCTGAAATGTTAAATGGTGCTATGCATTTCTGTAACTGCTTGGTTATTCTGCAGTGAAGGCTTTTTGTTCTTTCGTAGTAGGATATTTCTGCCTGTAATGTCAGATTCATTTGGTCATGTTTTTGCAGTTGATACGTGTTGAACGTCCATTTATTTTCATTTGAAAGTTTTTCATCATGAAAAGTAGTCTGTGATAAATGCAAGAAAAGCTTCTTCACAAAAATAACCAGATAGAAAGTTTCCAAAACCAATAACTCTGTTTCTTCATGCTGTGCACATTTTTAAAAACTTGGCTTGGCAGGGTAGGAGGAAGAGAGTGTGGATGGGGGACGCTTCTGTTGAAGAAAACGTGCTTTAGGAAAATACTGAACTACTTACAAGCTAACAGTTTGGGGGAAGAAAAAACAATGATACAAAAGGATTAATTATATTTACACTCTTCTTTTTCATGCTAGAACTCAAGGAAATCTGTGAGTTGACGGGTATAGACCAGTCTGTATTGGAAAGAGCTTTCAGCTTCCGGACAGTTGAAGCGAAGCAGGAGAAAGTTTCAACAACACTAAATGTGGCCCAGGTAAAGAGAGGTCCTGATTTTAAAAGAAAGAATCATTTTAAATGACAATTTATTCTCCATGGCTAAACCATAAATGACCAAATAAAAACTACAACTAATAGGCTGGACTGAATGAAACACATCACTAGCACAAGTGTGTTTTTTCTTCAGTGGTTTGTAAGCATTCAAATATACTGGATCTTTTGTTTTTATGTGTGAATTATCTCAAAAAGATGAAGGATAGGAAAATGTTGCAGAGAATGAAAAAATGAAATGGTTCTGTTCAAAATGCATGTTGAAAGTATTGTGGCAGACTGTTTTTGTTAGAGCAACTGGTGTAATTTCATGTGAGTTGGATGCCCCGGCTGCTGAAAAACTTTTGCTGCCAGTGTGACTTTATCTTTCTGCAATGCCGCAGAGGCAGTGTGACTGCCACCTGTGTCTCATCAGCTCAGGCTAGCAGGAATGTAGTTTTCCT